CCATCCACGTTGCAGCGAGTATCAGTGCTTCATGCCTTTTTAAGGATGAGTGGTCTGTCGTGTGGCACGTTTAATGCTTTTGTGAGCGTGAGGAATGCAAGTTGGGCAGAGGAGGTAAAGTGCTCTCTCATTTAGCCCTCTCCCAAAGGAATCCCTGGAACTGGATCCTTATATTCCTCTCAGAAGTGCTCTTGATGTGGACGTGTGGTACCTGCGTCAGTCAGCTACTGCTGTGTAACAGCCACCTTAGCTGCGTGGCTGCGAACTGCACACGCTTGCCTGCGCTTCTGCCATCTGGGTCGGGTTCAGTGGGCGGCATGAAGTCTAGGAGGCTCCCGCGCTCACAGGCCTCGGGGGAGGGGGCTGCCTGCCCCCCACCAGGGCGTCTCCCCCAGGGCCCCAGCAGGGACCCCGAGGGTGGAACCAGAAGCTGCCCGCCTTCCTCACCGTCACACGGTCCTTTCCGTCGAATTCTGTAGCTTGGGGTGAGTCACACGGCTGCTGGCCACAGAGCCGACTGTCCTTTTGGGTTACAAGCAGATTTCCCGGTGTGGCTTGTGGGCGGCCCGGCCTGACCGGGGGCCCCAGCTTCCTGCCATGCCCATGGGATGCCCGGCTTCCCCGTGGCCTTCCTGCAGGACTCTGCTTCTGTGGCCAGACCTTTCCAGCTAATAGGGGAAGTGAGTGAGTGCTGCCCTGGCACTGCTTCCTGCTTTCTTGGGCCTTGTGCTTTCTTGTTTGCTGAGTCACGGGGAGCCAGCCCTCTCCTGGGCACCAGGTGGGCGGTGCTCGGGGCACAGCCCCTGCAGTGACCCCACAGGCCTCATGCCCCCTGCCACCCCTTTCTGGAGGGACCTCTCCCCCTCAGCACTCAGAGCTCTGCAGGTGCCTGTTGGCAGGTGACAAAGCAGACCTGGTCCCCTGTAGTTGGGGGAAGATGCAACAGACAAGCACCAGGTGGTGCCAGGTGGTGGGAAGAGAGAAAGCTGAGAGGTGGGGAGAGTGGCCTCAGAGAGGCAGTTTGGGGCGAGGTGGTCGGAGGATGGCTTTTCTGAGGGGGTGACGTCTGAGCCAGGTCTTGGATGAAGCAAGGGAGCAAACCCTGCAGGGGTCTTGGGAAGGTCATTTCAGGTGGTGGGAACAGCCCGTGCAAAGGCCCTGGGGCAGGACCAGGCCTGGCATGTTGGAGGAACAGCAAGGAGGCCTGTATGTCTGGAGCAGAGTCAGCGATGGGGAGAGAGGGAGGGGGGAGTGCAGGGATGGGGTGGGGCAGGTTGTGCAGGTCCCTGTGGGCCACAGGGAGGACTTGGGCTTTTACCTCCAGGGAGGTGGGAGCACTGGAGGGCTGTGGGCAGGGGAGGGGTGGGGCCTGACTCAGGTGCTCACAGGTGCCCCCTGGTGGCTGCTTGGAGGGAGGGTGGGAGCTGGAGACCAGAGGGGAGGGGACTGAGTTGGTCCAGGTGGGAGAGGATGGGGGCTGAGAGGAGCCGGGGACAGTGGTGGACTCTGGGTAGACGTCAAGGTAGAAAAAACCAGGTGGTTTTGCTGAAGGACAGATGTTAAGGCCCCTCCCAGGGCCCTTGGGGAGCTTTCTCTGCCTCATTTTCCACATCAAATGTAGAGAAGCGGTCCTGTGTGTGCCGAGGAGGGGGTGGGTCCCTCGTCAGCGGGCTGCAGGGGTGTCTGCGAGGACCCCGGCCCAAGGCACAGCTGTGCCCCCAGATTCCCCCAGGCCTCAGCTTTGCCGCGCCTCACACTCTCTTCCTCCCCCCGGCTATTTTTAAAACTCAATTTCCTTGAAAGCGGGGTGGCTCATTCAAAAGATCATTGGTTACACCTCGGGCTGGGAGGAGTTCGACATCTTGGCGTGGTCCCTGCCGCCCCTGGCCCGGCTGGTGGAAGCGGGTGCAGGAACCGCATGGCCCCCGGCAACAGGGCCACCTGGTCAGGAGGGCGACGGACAGACGAGGTTCCAAAAGGGAATTGCAGAGAGTGAGTGAGAGCGTGTGGATGGCGGGACCCGGGGAGGCCATGAGGAGGCCCCTCCGGGGGGACGTCGGGGAGAGTGTCCGGGCAGAGGACGCGGCGCCGTCCCCGGTGTGCCATCCGTTCCCTGTCCTCCCCTCGCTCTGTCCCTGCCCTGTGACCTGGGCCAGCGTGGAGGCTGCCTGCTGCCCCTCCTGGCCTCACGCCTGGGGGTATTCTGGGTGGGGTGGGTCTCCCCCTTCAGCAGCCAGGAGAAGCAGGGGGGCCTGGGGGTGAGATCCAGGCACAAAGTGGGGAGACCCTGAGGTCAGTCCCTCGAGCGTCCCCAGGCAGGGCGGACCCGGCTGGGACTTTGCGTCCGATGCTGGTGTTGGCCAGGCCGCTCCCACAGACCTGAGACTGCAGAGGCCTCGGTGGTGGGCTGGGGCTTGGGGGGGAATCGGGACCACCGTGTTGGACCAGCTGGACCCCGGGATGAGGGGCCGGGAGCTGCAGAGGACTCGGGTGGGCACAGGGGTTGGGCTGTGGGCTCAGGTGCCCCAGATGGGCCAAGAAGGGGCTGGCCTGGGGCCCCCAGACCAAGTCTGGAATGTTCTGCGCGGTCCACTGCCGCTTCCTGCCTTGTTCGCTCTTCCTTCCCCCACACCCCAGACACAAAACCATGCATTGTTCTGCTGTTGGACAGCCAACGAAAATATTATGTCGGCTTTCCAGCACCTTCCACCGGACCCCTGGGCCTCGGGAGGGGCTGAGCCCGGGTTCATCCCTGTGGCCAGGGAGCCCGGGCTGGGAGGCCCGCGTGTTGCCGGCGGGCATGGCTGTTGTGACCCACATGTGGCTGGCGTTTCCCTTTCTGGTGGTGGTATGCGCCTTCCAGGGCCCGTGGGCTTTGTCCTCTGGGGGTGGGGGGTCCCTTCTGTGGGCCATGCTGCCACGAAGCGCCCAGCTGGCTGCCCACCTGGCCTCAGTTTCCTGTCTTCTGGGGGCCGCGCACAGAGATGGGCGCTCAGGGGAGTCCCTACCCTGTCCAGCCTGGCTGCACCACGGCCGTGTCGTCTTGGGTTTATGTTCTTTATCGAGAGAGAATTCATAGATATCATAAAATTCCCTATTAAGTGTACAATTCAGTGTTTCTTGCACAGTGTTTTGCAGCCGTTACCACTGATTCCAGAACATTCTCATCCTCCCAGAGGAAGCCGAATGCCCGTTCGCTGTCAGTCCCCACCCCCCAGCCCTGGCCCGAGCCGGGTGGATAGAGTGGGTGTTCTGACCCCTGACCTGGGCCTGCTGCTCCCCGGCTGCGCTTGCTCCCCCCGCCACACACCCCCCAACCGTGGGCGTCTCTCCTCCCCCACCCCTACCTTCCCCGGATGGCCTTGTCTCCTCTTGGGGCTCGAACCCCCTCTACCCCCGGACAGCTGCCTACAGCCCTGTCTCCAGCCTGGGCCTCCCCGAGCTCCTGACTCAGGGTCCAGCTGCCCCTTGACGTCTTCACACGGGGGTATGCAGGGGGTTCACGGGGCTCTCACACTCAGCATGGCCACCCTGCATCTGACCACCCCTCAAACCTGCTTCTGCTGGGTCCCCCATCTTGGTCGAGGCAGCTCTCTCCTGTGAGTCGCTCCAAGATCCTGAGTCATTCCCGACTCCTCACTTTTCTTCACTCCGCCCCCAGTGCGCACAGCCTGTCTCTCCTGACTTCAGAGCTAACCAGAATCCTCCCACTTCTCACTCACCCCTCCACAGCAGCCACCCTGGTCCACCCCATCATCTCCCACCTGGACCAGCGCGGTCCCCTCCCCACTGGTCCCCGGCTTTGTCCTCACCCTGTCTGTCCTCCCACGGCCACCAGAGGGCACCTGAGTCATGTCCGGTGTGTTTCCGACCCCCGGTCCTGCAGGACTCCCACCTCCCTGGGGTAAAAGCCCAAGTCCTCCCTTGCTGATCTGACCCCCCACCTGTCACCCCAAGTCATCCTGCTGGCACTTGCTGCACTGTCCAGGCCCTTCTCTGCTCCCCCTGGGCTGTGAGCCCTTGAAGGCGGGGGACGGGACTGTCCTGGTCACCACTTGCCTCCTCTCTCCAAGCTGACACCTGGTAGATACTGGTGTCTGAGTTTCCTGTTGCAGCTGTGACAAATCACCACAAACTTGATCTAAAACCAGACAGATTGGTTCTCTGACAGTCCTGGAGGTCAGGAGTCTGACTCGGGCCTCACGGGGCTAAATCCGGGTGTGGGCAGGGCTGGTCCTTCCGGAGGCGCCAGGGCAGCATCGGTTCCACCTTTTCCAGCTTCTAGAGGTGCCGCACCCCTGGCTCGTGACCCCTCCTGCATCCTCACAGCCAGCAGCGCAGCACCTCCCGTCTCTCTCTGCCTCTGACCCTCCCACCTCCCTCTTATAAGGACCCCAGGGAATCCAGGGTCACCCCCATCTCAGGGGCCTCAACCCCACCTTTAAAGCCCATTCTGGGATCAGAATGTGGACATCCTTGGGGCGACGGATATCTGCTGATCACACTCACTGAACAGATAATCCTCAGCAGAAGCCTGCTTTCTGGGTGAGGACACCGAGGTCAGAGGGGTCAGTGGTTGGCCTGAGGGCTCCCCACGTGAGCCTCCTGGGCCCCCCGGACCCCAGATGGGAGCCGTGTGGGTGGGAGCCAGGCAGCGTCCTTGGCTGGCCTGGCTGCCTCGGGAGCCACGCCGTCACTCCAGCCTGGGCCCCAGCCGCCGATCGCTGCTGCCCCTTCCCTGCGATGACCACCTGCCCTCGCCCGGGGCCCTCCTGGCGGTGGGCTGTGCCGTTTCTCCTCTCCCACCTCCCGTCTGCGCGGCCACGTCGGGGTGGTTGCTCCCGCAGCTTCTCCCGCCTCGGGGCCCCTCGTCCAGCCCGCCTGCATCACGTCTCCAGGCCTGTCGGCCATGTGGGGTCCTCACGGCCTTGCCAGGGGTGCAGGGTGCATGTATGGTGGCACCCCCATGTCCAGACTGAAGTCTCCCTTCTCCCCCTCAGGTTCGGCCCCGAAGAAGACGACCCCGGTGGAGGTGAGTGTCCCATGGGCCCCACCCTGGCCTGCCTCCCGAAGGTGGACCGGAAGTGCCCGGCCCAGCCCGCATCCTGCTCTGTGGCCTCGGCCATCTCCCTGCACCTCTCTGGGCCCAGATACTGGCCAATCAAATAAGCAGCTGTCGTCAGACGGTGAAAACCTGTCTGCCCCGCCAGCGTCTTGAGTTTCAGGGAGGGGTGGGGCGGGCGGGGAGGGCCCCAAGGATCCTACCCTGGGCTGTCCGGGGAGCGGGGAGGCGGAAGGGACCTGGAGAGGGTGGAGCCACCGCCCGCCAGCCGCGCCTCCAGGATGGCGCCCCAGCAGCCCCACACACCTGTCCGGGTCCCTCCAGTCCTGTCCGCCCGTGTGAGCCCCGGGTGCCCAGTCCCTGGTCAGTTTCCGGTCACTCCCGGAGGCCGCCTGCGAGGGGCGTCTGTGAGCCCTGTTGTCCAAGGAGCCGCGGACAGCGGGTTAGAGGCAGCCAAGGTGCACAGGAGCCCCCGCCCTGCCCGGGTGTCTGCCTTCCCTCCCAGCCAGGCTCCTCTCCCAGGACGCGTCTGGGCACTCAGGTCCTTCTTAGGTGAGCTTTGTCCACCTGCTGGGGTCCCGGAGGGCGTCCAGGCCGCAGGCAGTGGGGAGCCAGAGATGGGTGCGGAGCAGGGCTGGCAACTAATGTTCCCTGAGCGGAGCCTGGCCCCTGGCGACCAGCGTGCAGAACAGGCTGGTCTGAGCCCTTCAGGTGGTGGCAGGTGCTTCTTAAATGTCCGTGACTCGTGGAGCCCCGGCTCTGAGCTGGCACCTGTGTCCCTCCAGGCCCCACTGCCCCATCCACCATCCTCCCCCTGTGATGTCACACACGGGGGCCAGCGGCTTCCACACGACGTTGCTGGGATGCCACATGTGTCCCCTGGAGCTGGCAGGAGCCAGCCTGCTCCCAGGCCAGCGGGACTCCTTCCCTCAGGGGCGAGATGCTGTTTGCAGTCATTCCAGCCCAGAGGGTCTCACCTGGCCATGTCTGGGGGCGTCTGTGGTTGTCACGACTGGGGGGCTCCTGGAAGCGAGTGGGGGGGCCAGGGACGCCCCCTTCACAGAGTGACCAGCCCCAAGTCAGCAGTGCCAGGTGGGGGGAGACCCCGAAATTGGGGCTCTTGTCCCCCCGCCTGCAGAGGGCCGGGGCTGCTGACCTTCCTGCTTTCTAGAGCAGCCGGCGGTCCCGGTTTGGGGGCGGCCCGCCCGGGCGTGGAGCCCGAGTGCCCTGCATGCCGCCCCCAGCGGCCCCCGCCCGGGGCTCCGGCCGGGCGGCAACGAGGCCCCTTTCTTGGCAGGATTTGCAGAGCACCCTGGCCCTGCAGCGGCCTCGCTGCCAGTTGTGAGCACTTCCTGCTTCCTCTTCTTCAGGCCCTGCTGACGACTGGACAGCCGGGCCCTGGCCACGGGAAGAAGCTGGGTCATCGGGGTGTGGACGCATCCGGCGAGACCACCTACAAGAAGGTGCCTGCTCTGCCCTCCGTCGGCGGGGGTGGGGCGAGGGGTTCTCGTGGGTGCACCGGGCCCTGAAGGTCGGGTGTGGGCCGCGGCCGTAGGTGGCTGGAGACTAGGTGGCTGGAGGTAGTTGCTCTCGGTTGCTGGTTGCCGGCGGGTGCTCTGAGGCTGCACCACCTGCTGGGCTCCTTGAGTCACCCGTGGCCTTGGGCGTGACCTTGGGCAAGAGGAAATCACAGCTCCCTCCGTTCCCTCTGAAAGTGGGGCTGAGGAGAGGAGGGGTCGGGCCGGGGATGTGAGAGGCAACCCTGGGCCCCGCTGCCTCTGGTCCCCCCACTCCCCCCGCCTTGCTGCGCCCCCTAAAATACCAGCTTTGCTGGGGGCCAGTGCGTGCAGCCTGTGAGTCACCCTTCTGAAGTGTTCAGTTAGGTGGTTTCTAGAGTATTCAGAGCTGTACAACAATCGCCACGGTCAACTTTAAAACATCTCTCTTAATCTCCAAGAGAAGCCCCATACCCCTTAGCCTCCTCCACCCCGTCCCCAGCCCCTGACAATGAGGAACCCACTCTCTGTCCCCGTGGATCGGCCTGTTCTGGACGTTTCCCATCAGTGGAATCACACCCTGTGTGTCTTTCTGCATCTGGCTTCTCTCACTGAGCATCGTGTTCTCAGGGTCCGTGCACGTTGTAGTGAGTGTCGGGGCTTCACCCCTTTTCGTGGCCGAGTGATGCTCGCGTGTGTGGAGGGAACCATTTTGTGTATCCACCATCCATCAATGGACACTTGGGTTGTTGCCACTCTTCGACTGTTGTGAGTAGTGCTGCTGTGAAGGTTTGTGTACAGGTTTTCATGTGGACTGTGCTGCTCTCTCTGGGCTGCACACCTAGGAGTGGAACCATGAGAGCCATATGTAACCCAGTGGAGGAGCTGCCAGACTCTGTCCGCAGCGGCTACCCTTTTTTCCATTCTCAGCAGCTGAGCACAAGGATTCCACTCTCTGGGCCTCCATGGTGCTTGTTGTCTGTCTATCTGGTTCTGTCCCTCCCAGCACGTGGGAAGCGGGTCTCACTGTGTCCAGATTTGCATCTTCCTGGTGGCTGGTGGTGTTCAGCACCTTCTCCTGTGCTTGTTGACTGTCTGCATATCTTCTCTGGAGAGCTGTGTTCAGTCAGTAGCATCTTGAGGGAGTGGCTCGCGGGGGGTTTCAGGAGGAGAGGCGGGTGCCGGGGAAGGGCTTGCTCCTGCATTGGGGGTGCTGGGGGCCAGAGTCAGTGACTTGGGGGCCGAGGTGTCTTTCCTCAGTGGTGGGAGCGTTGCTTAGGGCTCACAGTGACAGTAACATGAGCGGCGGTGCTGGCAGACGGACAGGCAGCTGGTGCTCCTCCAGTGTGGGCGGGCATGAGGGTGGCCCCGGGAGGGCTGACGCTGTCACCTCCATCCTTGACCGGGGTGGGGACCGAGGAATAGAGAGGCAGAGCCCCTCGAAGGTGGACAGGTGGAACCCTGGTCTCGGAAGTGCAGCCTGGGCACTGCTGTGTATTGTGCCCTCCCCCCAAAGGAAACCCTGGCAAAATCCCCCAAAGACCCTTGCTGTGTTGGGGCAGTTTTGAGATGTGGGAACCTTCTAGAAGCTGGATAGAAAACAGGCCTTGGGGCTGCGCCAGGTGGTGTTGGCATCTCAGCCAGGCCACTTCCTTGCTGTGTGGTTGTGCAGGCTGAGCGGCAGGCCAGATGACGCCCCCCCGTCCCAAGGGGGCCTCCCATCTTGCCTCTCACCCTGGTGGCCGAGGGCTGGGCCAGGGATCGGCCCCGGGGGTCTTGATGTGGCTGGGTTTCTCCGCAGACCACGTCCTCCACCCTGAAGGGGGCCATCCAGCTGGGCATTGGCTACACCGTGGGCAACCTGAGCTCCAAGCCGGAGCGCGACGTGCTCATGCAGGACTTCTACGTGGTGGAGAGCATTTTCTTCCCCAGGTACCCGGCCCGGCCCGCAGGGGCAGCTCCTGTGCCTTCAGCACTTGCCCTGCTCGCAGGCGGCCGTGATAGGAAATAGTCTTCCCGTTCTCTCAGCTCCTTGCTCTGCCAAAAATAGCACTGGCCCCTCCTGGGGTCTCCTGGCTTTGAGGTCCAGCCCTGTGTCAGGATGTTAGTTTGCTGCTGAATCACAGGGACGCAATATAATGGTGACTTTTAAAAATAGGGAA